TCCGAGTACTTCTACTTACTACATGCTCCGAGTACTTCTACTTTACTACATGCTCCGAGTTACTTCTACTTTAACTACATGCTCCGAGTACTTTCTACTTTTACTACATGCTCCGAGTACTTCTACTTTACTACATGCTCTGAGTACTCCTCCTTTACTACATGCTCTGAGTACTCCTCCTTTACTACATGCTCCGAGTACTTCTACTTTACTACATGCTCCGAGTACTTCTACTTTACTACATGCTCCGAGTACTTCTACTTTACTACATGCTCTGAGTACTTCTACTTTACTACATGCTCCGAGTACTTCTACTTTACTACATGCTCTGAGTACTCCTCCTTTACTACATGCTCTGAGTACTCCTCCTTTACTACATGCTCTGAGTACTTCTACTTTACTACATGCTCTGAGTACTTCTACTTTACTACATGCTCGGAGTACTTCTACTTTACTACATGCTCTGAGTACTCCTCCTTTACTACATGCTCTGAGTACTTCTACTTTACTACATGCTCGGAGTACTTCTACTTTACTACATGCTCGGAGTACTTCTACTTTACTACATGCTCGGAGTACTTCTACTTTACTACATGCTCCGAGTACTTCTACTTTACTACATGCTCCGAGTACTTCTACTTTACTACATGCTCCGAGTACTTCTACTTTACTACATGCTCCGAGTACTTCTACTTTACTACATGCTCCGAGTACTCCTCCTTTACTACATGCTCTGAGTACTTCTACTTTACTACATGCTGTGAGTACTTCTACTTTACTACATGCTCCGAGTACTTCTACTTTACTACATGCTCTGAGTACTTCTACTTTACTACATGCTGTGAGTACTTCTACTTTACTACATGCTCTGAGTACTTCTACTTTACTACATGCTCGGAGTACTTCTACTTTACTACATGCTCGGAGTACTTCTACTTTACTACATGCTCTGAGTACTTCTACTTTACTACATGCTGTGAGTACTTCTACTTTACTACATGCTCTGAGTACTTCTACTTTACTACATGCTCTGAGTACTTCTACTTTACTACATGCTCGGAGTACTTCTACTTTACTACATGCTCGGAGTACTCCTCCTTTACTACATGCTCTGAGTACTTCTACTTTACTACATGCTCGGAGTACTCCTCCTTTACTACATGCTCTGAGTACTTCTACTTTACTACATGCTCGGAGTACTTCTACTTTACTACATGCTCGGAGTACTCCTCCTTTACTACATGCTCCGAGTACTTCTACTTTACTACATGCTCTGAGTACTTCTACTTTACTACATGCTCTGAGTACTTCTACTTTACTACATGCTCTGAGTACTTCTACTTTACTACATGCTCGGAGTACTCCTCCTCCGGCTGTACACTGAGACCCATTTGAAACAGGAAGTGCTCCAGCAGCTGTTGTCTCGTCAGCTGGAGCAGAAACACACTGAGGAGGGAATCATCGACATAAAGCCATTATGTTTCTGTATATCTATATATCCCTGTCCTTTAGAGAGATGGTATATTGTAGAGTACTCAATGTATTCAATATCTTCTTTAAAATGTGTATTTCTCACAAACAAAAAACACTTCCTTTGTTGCCTTTTTCTCATCACAGTGTTACTGTTTTTGTTACCATTTAAATATTGAATTCTATTTATTACTTGTATTTTAAATCAGATGCACCCGTTTGAGATCATACCTTGATTTTGATTTGCAGGTTGGTTGTTATTTGTATAATTATTGTATTGTTACTGTGTATTTGATTATATTAACTAGCTATTTATTAAATTAAAATACTGTAATGAACACGATGTCTTTATTTTGGTAGATACCAGAATACATGACACAATCAATCTTTGTAATATATGTGTATATATATATATATATATATATATACACATATATATATGTGCTCTGGTTGAAATAATCAGACCAGTATTTAATGTATGCTGGAATCCTGGAGAGCTTCCAGCACGGTATATTTCATACTATTATCAAACATAAGCTGGTGATCGATGGAAGCTGGTGACCAGCCCAGCATAGCCCAGCATAGCCCAGCATAGCCCGGATTAGCCCGGCATAGCCCGGCATAGACCGGATTAGCCCGGCATAGACCGGCATAGACCGGCATAGACCGGCATAGACCGGCATAGACCGGATTAGCCCGGCATAGCCCGGCATAGCCCGGCATAGCCCGGCATAGACCGGCATATGCTGTTTTTTTAGCTGGCCAGGGTAGCTGGTTTAGCTGGTTTAGCTGGTTTAGCTGGCCAGGGTGGCTGGTTTAGCTGGTTTAGCTGGTTTAGCTGGTTTAGCTGGTTTAGCTGGTTTAGCTGGTTTAGCTGGCGCCAGCTAAACCAGCTAAACCAGCTAAACCAGCTAAACCAGCTAAACCAGCTGCACCAGCCACGCTGGCCAGCTAAAGGGTCCAAAACCCCTCGAAACCACTCAACCATTCCAGTGTCCTCGCGCTGTCCTCACATCCCCGGACCCCCAGACTCGGAGGAGCACAGGGAAGCAGGGTATAGAAAGTACATTATTGAAATGAAAATACTATTTATTTACTTTTCCAAACAGTGAGTAGCTGACAGCTGCAGCATGTGTGTTACAGGACATGTGTTGGACACAGACTGTGTGGTTGGACTCTGTCTCACAGGCAGGTTGCAGGGTAACGTGAGAGGAGACTGGGCCAAGTGTACATTCTCAAACTGCACCACTTGGAACTAACTGCACAATTATTTTTATATAATTATATTCAATAACCGTAACAAAATTAAACAGTATGAAGTGATTTGTAAATAGGAGATTTGACTTAATGTTTTCATAAATATATTTTTCTCCCAGTTTGTCATGGGACTTATTGTTAAATCTCTCAAAGAACCGGAATCGAGAACCGAAAAGAACCGGAATCGAAAAGCAGAACCGGAATCGTTAAAATCCAAACGATACCCAACCCCATGTGTGATGCAGTAAAATCTCACCGCTCACTTACGTCAGCGGTGTCGTAAAACCGTGGGGAAATGTCAAATACGATGCCGAAGAAGAAGATTCCAGTGGCCCCAAATGTTCTACTTTGCCAAACTCACTTGTCCATGTACAAGTACTCTCTAAAAACATTTTCTTACACATAAATATATCTTCTGTCTCACATGTCTCAAGCGTAGAAGTATGTGCATGTTAAAATGTCACATGCAGTCGTGAAGGTTTCAGTCTGGACGCAGATTACTCCATATAATCTAATCATCTGCATCTAATCCAGTTTCTGCTTCGGTCATCTGGACAGTACACTTCTCTTTCATGTGAGATACAGAGGTACTTGTACTTCACTTGAGTATTTATGCTACTGTGTACTTCTACTCCTATACAGTTCAGAGGTACATGGTGTACTTCTACTCCACTACATGTATTAATACCTTTAGTTACTTCACAGATGTGGATGAATGATGTGAAATATAATCAAGTGTTGAATCAGACTTTAGTTCCACCTGGAGTAAATCCACCAGCTACCCTGCAGTATACAAAGTACTTCAAACTAGCTGCACCTTCACCAGCTTTGAGAACACTTTCATGATCAATCATTATAAAACATATCATATATATTATTCTGAAATGGACCAATCTGCACAACGACTACTTTCACTGTCGCTACTTTCTCTATATTTTGATGAGAATACTTTTCTACTTTCACTTGAGGAACATTTTGAATGCAGTACTTTTACTGTAACACAGTATTCCTACACTCTGGTACTTCTACTTTTACTCAAGTACAAGACCTGAGTACTTCTACTTTTACTCAAGTACAAGATCTGAGTACTTCTACTTTTACTCAAGTACAAGATCTGAGTACTTCTACTTTTACTCAAGTACAAGATCTGAGTACTTCTACTTTTACTCAAGTACAAGATCTGAGTACTTCTACTTTTACTCAAGCACAAGATCTGAGTACTTCTACTTTTACTCAAGTACAAGACCTGAGTACTTCTACTTTTACTCAAGTACAAGATCTGAGTACTTCTACTTTTACTCAAGTACAACATCTGAGTACTTCTACTTTTACTCAAGTACAAGATCTGAGTACTTCTACTTTTACTCAAGTACAACATCTGAGTACTTCTACTTTGACTCAAGAACAACATCTGAGTACTTCTACTTTGACTCAAGAACAACATCTGAGTACTTCTACTTTTACTCAAGTACAACATCTGAGTACTTCTACACCTCTGCTGTTTACTGAAAGACTATATAAACTTCTGGTAAAACAGAGAAGTTCGACTCGGAAGGACTTCAGTGAGGAACAGCTCCAGCAACCAGTTTGTAAACAGTATTAAAAATGTACCAATTTCCAAAATACATTTAAAAAAAGAGTGTGTTTAACTTTTAAATACAGGAACTCAAATATAAGTCTATTTAAATAAAGCTCATTTTAAAAGGCAAAGTTCATACATGACCAAAACATAAAATAAGTATGTATTTAAAAATAAAGCGGAAAAACAGGGTATAATGTAATTAACAATAGATATATTATAAAACGAGAAGACAGATTCCATATAAAAGCGTGCTTTATTTCAATTAAATGAGCATTAGCTTCAATAAAAATGAATATAATGTGGACGATAGGCACTCACAGTGCTATACTGCATCATCACGTTCAGTTGCACTCAATACAAATATAAATGTTTAACCCTTAAGTTCCTCTAAACATCTGACAGTGCTGAACTCCAACAGACTTTGGAGCCGCACTCATTTGAACAGAAAGGAAACAACACACATGTAATAAATAATTAACAGTAATGAAGGGGAAACACTTCAAAAACACACCACACACTATCACAAATAAAACACACATTATATTAGATTAGTGGTTCAATTAGAGGTTAAAATAAACTCCCATTCCCCACCACTATCCAAACAGTAGGATTACATATCAACCCTTTAAATCGGATTACAGCAGCGGCACACAGTGAGTAAATAATACAGAATATAAATGAAATAACATACCCAGGATGAGACATGTTATGTCGAGCAGCACGAAGGGGATTCCTCTCGCCTCGAACATGTTGCCTCCTGTCTGTCTCTGCCGCAAATGAAGCCTCTTCTCCGGGTACGAACAGCGGCAGTAAGGTGGGTGGGGGTGGAGTTTATTTCCGATCAGAAAAATGTCAGCAAATGGTGCAAAAACACAAGAACCCGTCCGCACCCTGGAGAAGAAACAACGGACCTGCAGGACACATCAAGAGGAGCATTTGTTGTTGTTTGTTATTGTGTTGCAAGGCGGGGATTGGCAGAACAGCTGATAACTCCGCACGACGCGCCGCATGGCAGAGTAAAACAAACGAACCCACACCGGAAGATTGTCGTGAAAAACACACACCTGTTCCCGGTTCGGTGTGTGTGTGTGTGTGCGCGCGTGTGCGTGTGTGTGTGTGTGTGTGTGTAGCCGGTGTCTGAGGGTGCACGCGGTACTAACCCGAACAAATCCGGTGTCGATGGAGGCTGCGCGGCCCTGGTGGTGCGTTCAGGGGCCAGTGGGGAAATTGGGTAGTATCCTGGTTTGTGAACTCATCTTTATTTCATTTTTAGAATTTTGACACTATCTTATTTTCATTTTTAAAAAAGAAGATAATACAAAACATTATTAATTATTATTATTATATGTTCATTATTTACTTCACTTTTTTTTAACAGTAAATAAGGAAATATCCTTTCCAAATTATTTTAATTCATATTTGTTTTTTGTGGAGTGTCAGATGAAATAAATCAATTGAAGCTAGAAGACAGAATTGTTCCCAGCTTAAAACTGCTTTAAAAATACAAAATATGCATATTATTTTCCACTTAAACAGAGTTAATTCACTATCAGTACCCATACCTACTTAATATTAATTTAGTTTAGGTATTGAATTCTTGTAATTACTAGTTAGTCTACATAATTCAATTGTTTTTAAGAATTTTTATTTATTTCTCACATTGTTTGATAAGTCAATGATTAGCAACGACGTTGATTTTGATTCTAATTGTTTTGTTTTATGCAGGAAACGAGCATTTAAAAACTGTTACCCTATTTGTTAGATTATTTTAGAACTTTTATTAAATAAACTTGAGTGTAAAGACCTCAGTAAATGTACACTAATTGCAGTATTTTTTTACACCTCAGGAACAAACAGGAAGATATAGGAACATTATTACCACAACACTGACCCCATCTAGTGGTTTGAAGGTTACATTACACTAAGGAAACCGATATAATTCTCTATTTTCTAGCTAACAATTAGCTCCAACCCTTCATTCATTTTGAAAGAACACGTATTTAGAACTCATAAGCTGTGATCTAGGTTAATTAAATACACTAAAACAAACACAAATGCAACCGTCCTGCAAGAGATGGGTATATTAAAAAGTCCCTATTATGCTTTTTAGGATGTTCCCTTTCCTTTAGTGTGTTATTGAGGTTTTAATGCATGTAAATGGTCTGCAGAGGCTAAAATCCCTGTGATCCCCTGCCTGAAACGCATCCATTGGCCTCCTTTGTTTAAACGGTAAATGGACATATGGCCCTCTATCAACGATATTTTCTGTCACATCGTCCTTAAGGATTAAACACACATTAATAACACACTTAATGCACAAATATGTTTTTATTCAACTCGAAAATTACATTTCAAAGTCATTCAAATGAACAAGAGAGGCAGATATATTTTAAAACATCTCCAGTTTCTGCGACTGCAAAACACGTTTAATTGACAAAAGATCAATTCTGACTTTTTAAGCCATCGTTACCCTGCCAGTCAATAACCCTTTATCTTAAAATATCCATTATGCAACCAGAACATGTGACAAAAAGCACAAATAAGTCAAAAAAATGTTTATTAAACCATTTAAAAATAAACCTATTTTACATATTTATTGGGCTTTAAAACATACGTGTGATATTTCAAAGGCTTATTGAGATTTTTTTTGATTTTACTGACAAATGCATGTTTTTAGACCCACACAGAATACTGTCTGCAATAATGCTCCTAATACATGTTGGCATTTACAAATAAGAACAAACATAAATAAAAAGGAATGAATAATTTATAAAAATATGTTTTACAAAGCCATTAAAGGCAAGTCCTTCATTGTTTTGAATGCAGACGTGTTGCTCATTTTCAGTCCACTAGGTGGCACTGTTTCCCTACAAGTAAAAAATGCAGGTTTTTTCCACACAAGGCACATAGTTCAGAGTCAGACAGAAAACAGCATGTACATGTGTTGGAGCTACAGAAGAAAATACAAATCAAACATTAAATTACAGATGTTTTCAGACAGGAAATGAACAATGTCCGACTCCAGTTGCGTCGACGAATTCCTCAAGTCTTTTTTGTATTCATCTGAATCTTCTGTTGTCCTTTCAAGTGCTCCGAGTCTTTGAAAAGTAAAAAGAAAGTCTTCACATTTTACGATGAAGGAATCGTTTCACATTTTGGGAAAGATTTGCTTTCTTGTGGAGAGTTAGATGACCTAGATATGAAGCTAAAGCGAGAGTTAGTTAGCTTAGCATAAAGACTGGAATCAGAGGGGAAACAACTAACTGTGTGTTCCACAAAAAAACTAAATATATTTTTCTATTGCGGACTATTAACAGCAAAACATTCCCAAGCACTAAACCCCATATTTTTTACTTTGGATGTGAAATGTATGCAGCTTTTTCAGGCTAGCTATTTCCCTATTTTTAGTCTTTAAGCTAAGCTAAATACTAGCTCGCTCTAGATCTAGATTTAGAGTACAGACATCATACTAGTGTTAATCCTATCTCACTCTCAAAATGTGTGATATTTACACTTCGCTTTTACCTAGCACTGACCGCATGTTTCCCACCTTTATGCTAAGCTAAGCTAATTACCTGCTAACTCTAGGTATATATTTAGCATCCAGGAATTAGAATAGTGTCAATATAGTCTTTCACAGAAAAAATGCATTTTGCTTTGAAAGACTTCCAGTCTTTTATGCTAAGCTATGCTAATAAGCTGCTAGCAATAGGTCTAACAATAACTATAGGTTCCCAGCAAAGAAAAATAAGAAAGTGTTATTTATACACTTCAACTTGTGTGTGTAGCTTTTTGCAAGCTAGCTGGTTCCCGTTGTCTTTATGCTAAGCTAAGCTAACTCTAGCTCAATGTGTAGAGATCGGACATTAGAGTGAATCTTATCTTACAGAGATGTAAAATTATTTATGCTAAACTAATGACCTGCTAACTCTAGCTCAATATGTAGAGTTCAGACATTAGAGTGAATCTTATCTTACAGAGAGATGTAAAATTATTTATGCTAAGCTAATGACCTGCTAACTCTAGCTCAATATGTAGAGTTCGGACATTAGAGTGAATCTTATCTTACAGAGAGATGTAACATTATTTATGCTAAGCTAATTACCTGCTAACTCTAGCTCACTTTTTAGCATACAGACATAAGAGTGAACCTTATCTCACTCATTTGCCATTTTTACACTTTTTGTTTTCGGATTAGAGATTTAAAAGTCTTTATGCTAAGCTAATTGCATGCTAGCTGTAGCTCAATATGTAGCCTTCAGACACAAGAGTTATCTTATTAGCTAACTCTCAGCAAGAAGCTATATTTTCCAAGATGTCAATTAACCATTCCTTTTAGAAACCTGATACAGTTCAGATCAGTTGAATTCATCTGCGTTATTTCAACGTTTTGCAGTCATTTCGGTGATCAATAATCCAGCCATTTTCTCCATCCTCATGTCTTTTTGGGTTTTTTCTGTTTACGGAGGTGCGCTTCGATCTCCTGCCTGAAGAAGAGCATCCCCAATTGGCCGTGCGACGCCTCGTTCATGGCTTTTGATTGCATGCACATGCGATATTGATCGGGCGGCAGTTCGTCGGCGCAGTGTTTCTCGTGCCACAGGTGGAAAAGCCCTCGGGACGGGGCTCGAACCACCAGAAGGTTACTGTGCAGGTACTTCCTGTACAGGTGCACGTCTTCACCCCCCCAGCCTTTGATGTCGATGTCAAAACCGCCTGCAGAGGGTGCATACAAGTACAGTGTCACATATACACAGAAGACAATAAGGAGCATTTACAAGTAGAGACAAATAACAAATGACACAAGATACATGGAGACCAAAAAAAAAATATTTAAAAAATATAATAAATTAAAGTAAAATTCAAAAAATCTGAATGTAAACATAAGAAGTATGTGCAATACAAATATACAGTAGAGATGTTGCTCAGACATTATGCAAATAAAGAAAAAACCTAACAGGAAGTAGTGTGTCACACACACACACACACACCCACCATGTATACATCACTTCAGGGGACATTACATTGACTTACATGCATTTCCTGGAGACTTATCCTAACCTGAACCATAACCAACACATGCCTAACCCTAACCCTTACCAAGTCTTCACCCTAAAATGAATGATACCCCTTATGGGGACCTCCATTATGTCCCCATAAGGGAGGTCCCCACACGTGACTGTGTAAACATATTTAGGTCCCCACAAGGATAGTAATGTTATGCCACACACACACACACCACACACACACACGCACACACACACACACACACACACACACACACACACCATGTATACATCACTTCAGGGGACATTACATTGACTTACATGCATTTCCTGGAGACTTATCCTAACCTGAACCATAACCAACACATGCCTAACCCTAACCCTTACCAAGTCTTCACCCTAAAATGAATGATACCCCTTATGGGGACCTCCATTATGTCCCCATAAGGGAGGTCCCCACACGTGACTGTGTAAACATATTTAGGTCCCCACAAGGATAGTAATGTTATGCCACACACACACACACACACACACACACACACACACACACACACACACACACACACACACACACACACACACACACACACACACACACACACACACACACACACACACACACTGCTGGACTTGAACTGGCAGGCTTTATGTGGAATTGAGGGTTTTTTCTCAGCGTTGGAAAAGCAGGTTTTTCTGAACAGTAAAAACTGATGACAGACATTTTCTCCTTCAAAGCGCAATGACTAATAAATACCAAGGAAGTCTGATCCCCATTTCTAAGGAAGAGACAAGGATTTATTTTTGTTTAAGTACAAATACAACCCCTCATATGTGTGTATGTATATATATTTTCACTTTTTGTTTCATTCGTTTGTTTCTTTAAGCCTTTTTGTCATTTATCCACTGCGGACATTTTTTTGTGCACTTTTCTTATATCAGCCTTATGTTTTCTATTTTCACCTTATTATGATTATCATCTTATTTCACTATTATTTAAAGTTGATTTAATCTTATTTCCCATTAATTAAACATTATATCTTGTTTTTTATGTTCATTTCGTCTATCTTCCGTTATTGTAAAGCAGTTTTTTTTGCAGGAAAAGCGCGAAACAAACAACGTTTATTATAATTATCATGTGAAATGGAGATTTGAGGCGTTAAGAAATGCATTTCTCTGTGATTCATGTCCCCATTTCCTCTTAAAGTCGCTGATTGGTTTCCTGATTAGAGTTTACAGCCTGCGATCACAATCAGCTGCTCTGCACGGTTTGTTGTTTCATGAAGAAAGAGGGGGGGGGGGGGGGGGTTCTGGACAGATTCTGCAGAAACAGACGTCAGAAGACAAGTTAAAACCTGCATCTCGACACGTCTGAAATACTCTGCTGTTCCTCACACAGTGTTTTATTTTCATTATTCTGTCCGTCTCTCCGTCTTCATTTTTAACCCCGAGGCCAAACAGATAAAGCAGGAATTTGAGCTGAAAATGATGTGTGTATTTTTGTATGTGAATGCACTCAAAGCCTCAAAGATATGTTGCAACAGAATTTAAGGAATTTTCCTTTTATTTATATTTATTTATTTAAAAAAAGAATAAATTCAATAAATTAATAAAAACATCGAAAAAGATTCGTTGAAAAAAAATGCTTAATTAAATATTAGTATTAAAATAATACGTAAGAATTAGCCTTGAAACTTTTAAAAATAAGTGTTTACATATTGACATATTCAAACAAGTAGAATGTGCAATAAAATACAATACATTTGAAAAATATTATTTAAAAACATACATGTGCAATAAAAAAATAAATACATGAAGATTTTTATACAAACAAATTATTATTATTTGTGTTTATTTAAATAGGTTAATTGGCACAGCTGTTTCTACATAGTTACTGTACCAAACTCCTGTAATTATGCAGCCTTAATTGAAAGTAAAAATTACATTCATATGCAGGTACATATTTACATAAATTAACACATGCTCGCATATAACGCTCTGCAAGAACATGAAGTCTGTGTGTGTGTGTGTGGCCTATAATTACTATCCTTGTGGGGACCTACATCTGTTTACACAGTCACGTGTGGGGACTCGCCTCCCTTATGGGGACTCATTCATTTTAGGGTGAAGACTTGGTTAGGCATGTGTAGGTTATGGTTAAGGTTAGTATAAGTCTCCAGGAAATGCATGTAAGTCAATGTAATGTCTCCTGAAGTGATGTATACATGGTGTGTGTGTGTGTGGCCTCGAATTACTATCCTTGTGGGGACTCGCCTCCCTTATGGGGACTCATAGTGTGAAGACTTGGTTAGGGTTATGGTTAAGGTTAGTATAAGTCTCCAGGAAATGCATATAAGTCAATGTAATGTCCCCTGAAGTGATGTATACATGGTGTGTGTGTGTGTGTGTGTGTGTGTGTGTGTGTGTGTGTGTGTGTGTGTGTGTGTGTGGGCATGTGTGTGTGACATAATCCCCTCTGAATTTCACTACACTCCTTCAATTGCTGTGACTTTGGAGGGAAACTAAATTGATTGAAATGCCTTCTGAGAGCCAATATCACTCAACAAACACTTAGAGCAGAGCTGTGAGATATGCTAATCCATGCAGCAGCTGCTTCTCTTCTGCAGAGTAATTTAATCAAATCTCCTCCCAGGTGAGAGAAGTAAAGCAATATTGAACCATTTGTGTTGTCATCCATTAAGCTCTCTGCCACTATTAGCTCAGCAGAGGAAGTCTCCGAGTCTCACTGTTTATGAATTCCTGCACGCTAAGACGTTGCAAATATTTACCGATATTGATGAAGTCGGATCTGTACTGGCAAGTCATCCCGAATCCAAAATCCCTCCAGAAGCCGGTGTCTTTCTTTATCGCCTGCACAGAAGAGAAGTTAGAAAGCAGAACAGAAATACGACTTTGCATATGAGTGTGTGTGTGTGTGTGTGTGAGTGTGTGTGTTTCAAGTTTCAAGTTTCGAGTTTCAAGGCTTTTATTGTCATTCGCACATAGCTACAGTGTAGTTATGATAATGAACATTTTAGGTCACAGGCTCCTCCAACAGAGCAACACATAAAACAGATAAAATACAAGTAAATAAAATATAATATAATAGAAACAGCGCAGAATAGTCTATATACAGTAATTGGAATATTGATATATATAAGTTGCAAACAGATGCATGTTATGGATGTTCTTTCAAAAGTTCAGGTGTTTAACATTCTTATGGCCTGTGGGATGAAACTGTCCCTGAGTGTGTGTGTGTGTGTGTGTGTGTGTGTGTGTGTGTGTGTGTGTGTGTGAGTGTGTGTGACCTAGCATTACTATCCTTGTGGGGACCTACATCTATTTACACAGTCACATGTGGGGACTCGCCTCCCTTATGGGGACATGAGAGGAGTCATTAATTTTAGGGTAAAGACTTGGTTAGGGTTAGGCATGTGTTGGTTATGGTTAAGGTTAGGATAAGTCTCCAGGAAATGCATGTAAGTCAATGTAATGTCCCCTGAAGTGATGTATACATGGTGTGTGTGTGTGTGTGTGTGTGTGTGTGTGTGTGTGTGTGTGTGTGTGTGTGTGTGTGTGCGCGCTCTAACTGCATCTCTGTGTAAACCCATGTAAGTCTTTGACCTTCAGATCGAGGAGGTTTTCTCCGACTCTCCACTTTTCTTGCAGGTTTTTCGGTTAGTGTTCTATGGTTTCAGTTCTTATTGAGATTATTTTAGGATTCGCATGCGTGTGTGTAATACTCCTGAGACAATCGGGGCGACAATTAAAGAGGACTGGTTGCCCGATAAAAGACAACTGTGATCATTGACTCTGTAATCAGGGGCCGTTTAGTTTCCTTTAATCTGCTCTTTGGTTTCTTTGCAGTCGTTTGGTTTTGATTGATGTGTTTTTGTCTCTCTTTGCTAATTTGTTGTAGTTATTTAGTGTCTCTTTCCAGTTGTGTTGTGTCCCTTCGTCATTCTAGATCAGTGCTTCTCAAAGTGTGAGCGCCCCCTAGTGGTCCGTGAGTATATTGGTAACATTTGAAATTAATTAAGTAATTTAAGTTTTTCGCACTCTCGCGGGAATATCTCCGCAATGGAGCGAGCTTAAGTTTCACTTTCAATTGCACGATAAAGCCCAGATAAACACCTTCGTCACACATGTTGCCACTCGTTGGTACCATTTTCAGGCGATTTGTGAAAAACGATGTGTTTTTGGATATTTGTGGAGTTAGGTGGTCCTCGAGTGTTTTGTTATTGGTTAAGTGTCCTTGGTTTGAAAAAGATTGAGAAACACTGTTCTAGATCTACTTGTTGTCTCTTTTGTCTTTCTTTAGTCAGTGTGTGTCTCTTTGCAGTTGCTTTGTGTTTGAGTGGATATCAATATACTCCTT